AAATTGCACGGCCATTGAGCGTGTCTCGAAGGGGTGCAAACAGGTCTTCGATCATGCATGGTATGCCGTGACTCTCTTTTATGTGTCGTTTCCATGGGCCCACCTGGAAATAGGCTCGATCACATTCAGGACATTTCAGCACGGGTGCCTGAGGACAGGGATCATCTGTGGATGCAGGGATGGGGATATGGTTCTCAGGATAATCCGGGGTCAGGACACAAATGTCAGGCGTGCTAGACTGCATGGCGAGCTGAGTCAGGTCAGCACGACGAAGGCTCAGCGTGTGTGTGAGGCGGGACTGCTGCTGTTGCAAGTAGAGCCATGGTCGATTCAGGTTGAGTCTGGTATAAAAAGCATGAGTAGTTTCACGTGTGATGTGAACCGGTGACCTGGCCATGGTGCGATGGTGTCTGTGAATCATGCCTACAATTTGTTGAAATCCCTTGGCAATGATTCCCATCTCATGTATTCCGTATGAGACCGTGTGCAGGACACATTAATTGTACAATCTGATTCGGACATGGAAAGGATGGTGTGTGTCCATGAGTCATCGTCTGAGGATCCGAAAATAGATATTGGCCGCTGTGACTCGACGAGTGACCGTGTCGTTGGCGAAAGCATTATAACTTATCATGACACCTAAATAATTGGTCTTGTTGACGATGGGCAATCTCAAGGCAATGTCCGGCAAGTGCAACAAAGGTCCCTCTTTTGGTCGAGAGATCCATCGCTTCAAAAACGTCGGGGCATTTTTGCCAACCAGGCGCATAATAATCACACTTTTGGATTCATTCACCTGGAAACGGTATGCCTTGAGCGTGCGCAAGATATATTGCAGGTCATGGATGGCTTCGAAATCCTCGGCAACCGGTCTCATTATCCATCTGAGGTGGATGTCGTCTGCATATATGATTATATGAGATTGAATCCACTGCAGGTCATATCTAGTTAGAAGATCATGGAGGATGAGGTATATGCTCAAGGTCCACAGCAAAGGGACGTCTTTTGATCCCTGCTTGATCCCGCGAGAGGCGGTAAACCTGGCCACAAGGTCCTTGTGGGGAACACAATATTCATGCTTCCCAAGCCATGATTGGACAAGATGTCGAAGATCAGAGTTTATCTCGAACAAGTTGATGGCACGAAGCACGTGGGTTCGAATGATGGCGTCAAACGCCTTTTCAAGATCTAGTGAAATCTGGATGCCTCCCCACAGTCCCTCCGCTCTGGCAAACTGTTGGCACAGAGTTCTAACCGTGCGGCAATGTTCGGATACTAACAGAAGGCAATCACGTGTACCTCGGTGGGGGAGGTAAGCGAAAAGCGGCATGGTTCTGAGCCTATCGAAGGTGTGGTCCATGAGCAAAATACAATGGATTCCTGTATTAACCGGGTGTTGAAGGCAAATCGGTCGGAGTGCAGCCGGCTTATTGGGCGGTTTGTTGGCTTTACTTAGCATTTGAAGCCAACCCGTGGACCAGTGTGCTGGTGGGGTACCATCTGTGTCGAGCCAGGCATGTTGCACTGCTTGATATACAATCGGTGCAATTGCATGAACAAAGTGTCTCCACACTACCGCCGGGAAGCCGTTAGTGGTGGGCAATCGACAAAGCCCATCAGCAAGGTCATCCTGGGTGAACGGAATGCTGCTCAGTGGGTGGGGTTGAAGGTCAAAATCGGAATCCGTGAACAATAGATTGAAGTGGGCAATCAATAAATCAAGCTCTTGGCGTGGAATCATGGGTGCACCAAGTTGATCATGCATCTGAATCCTGCGGAAAGGCTGCTTGGGGCAGAATTTCCGGATATTTCGATATCATTCATGGATACGATTAGTCATGACATGGGCAACGTTCTCCTGCAAGAATTGATCAAATTTGCGTCGCTTGTTGATTCTGCTGAAGCGTCGAATCTGAGCATGCAGCTTATGAAAGATGGTGCAATGCTTCCAGCTATTAAAAAATGACTTGACATTCACAAGAAAAATATATCTGTATAGGGTACGTGCATGCCACATGCGTGCTGTCATGGAACGAAGCTGGTCAGGTTTGTGTGCACTGGCTTGGACAGGTGGGAAATATTCAAGACACAACTCACGGATCTGAATTTCCATGTGTAGGCAGTTGCTGACTGGATCTGATGTGTGTCCGGCCCGGTGTCTGAGGATGCAACCCTGAACAGCTTGTTCAAATCTTTCCCATCTGGGTGTAGTCTCTTCATTTCCTGACGCAATCGAAAACGATTGATTGCGGGAATCTGAGTGGGAGGCTTACGAATAGCATGCCACCGTGGGAGGTGGATTAGAAGTGGTCTATGCTGAGGTCCTTGATATATTCCAATCCATTCGAATTTATGATCGACCTGTGCACGAAGGTGTCGCCATCGGACTTGGAAGTTACGAAGAAACACGAAGTCGATCCTGGACCGATGTGTTCCGTGCAGGAAAGTGGGTACATACTTTTGATGGCAATGAACAGCTGTTAAGGACAAATCTTGGATCAATTGTTGGAATTGGTGCTTATCAGCTTGGAGGGCTTGGTTGAAGCGAGGATTAATACTTCCAACATGGGATGGGTCCTTATTCAGCGGAGTATTGAAGTCACCAGCCAGGATAAGCTGGTGGCCTTTGGGAATGTTCTGTATGCCACGTCTGAATTTGTCCCAAAGATCCTGCCTTGCCAGAAGAAGGCCACGATGGGTCTTCGATGTGTTCCAGGCTGTCAGGTATACTGCATACAGGTCGAAAATCTGGGTGAGCATCAATCTGATGTGCATGAGGCGGCCTGGAATTATGTCATGGTATGCCAGCTGTGACTGTCGAACCAATGTACGGCGGACCATCACCAATAGAGATGCGGACGCCGCATGGCTGTGAACCGGATGATCCATGACTGGACAGTGGCAAACAGATCAATGGCTCTGCTTCTTGCACTAATATGACATCTTCCTGCCGTTTGTTGCGCCAGCATAGCCATTCTTGGTATACCAAGCCCCGTGGGGCGTTCTAGGACAGAAGCTTCAGAATAGGTCGTGCAGTTTTCTGCAGCCGTGGAACAGTAGCTCCTGGAGCAGGAATGCGGGAGTGCAGGATCTTGGATTTGAGTCTAGCGGGCACCTCAGCTTCCCACAAAATCCGACCATGGTAAGATGTGGATCCGGTGGCAATGGCCCTTCGGCATGCACGAAAAACGATCTTTTGATTCGTCGGACACGATGGGCTTTGAACATGGCCGTAGCCATACATCGCCCAGATTTCACTAGCTTTTGTGCAGGCTTTGTTTGTGGTCTTCGAAGACTTTGCACTTCCGGCAATTCGTGAAATAGATTCGGCAACCCTCACGCCAGATGGGTGTATATTTTTTTACCGTAGTCGGGCCGGTAAATTTCAATAGGTGGTATGATTCGAGGGTATGATTCGGGGTATGATTCGGGGGTATAATTCGAGGGTATAATTCGCAATTTTGAAGTTGTATGGTTGGATTAGCCGGACTTCCAGCAGTGGGCCCACCCTGCGCCGAGGCAATAGGCAAGCAACATCTGTTGGATGCTGGGCAGATTAGGCAAATGCATTCTTCCACCAAAGACTCCAGTGGCCCTCTACAAGCCCCATCAAAACAACCAGGATGTGGGATAGGTAGGAGATTATGTGGAGATGCGTAATTCGGATAAGAATATTATAAATACCCCTGGGATGTGAGTCTTACTCTTCCCACAAAAAGACCTAAATAATTTTGGCCAAATTAAATGCCCATAGATCACCATTAGTTCATAGACATCTTAGTTCTTACGTATAATGTTTTAAGAGGTATAATTCGGGGGTATAAATCGCTCAAATCGAACTTCCAACCACTACATCAAGAAGTACACGCCAAAAAAGTACAAACCCAAATCTAAATCAAAAAGAAAAATTGCTTCAACACTAAACTTCAATCCTCCCAAATTAAAAACCGGGTATATCTACAGCTAGCTAATAAAACATAAACCACTAATTAATAAATAAACATTTCGCAAAAAGTAATTACAATTCCCCATAACGACAAACAAAATTAAAAAAAACGGCCGATCTCGAATAAATATAGCGCTTAATTTCAATATATAAACAAATATATTCAATATAAATTTATTATTATTTCCCATATTCAATAATATCTATAAAAAAAATATAATTTATATATAAGAATATAAAAAATTATATCCGAAATATATTTAATTAACAATAATTTTTAAATATCATTTCATATTTATTATATCATTCTATTAAAAAAATATTTTATTAATATTAATATCCCTATCCGAATATTAAATATACATAAACAAATCCTACAATCCACCCCAAAAATATAATATCTTCAAATCTCAAAACATCGACATATATTCAACAAACATTACAAAATTCCATTCTTCTAAATAGATATATTTTTCATCCCCACAATAAAGAATTAAAATATCTAAAAACAAATCAACGATAAATAATACATACATATTGCAAATATTATTTTTAATAATGTAAAATTAAAAACAATTATTACATATCATCGAATCCTTAATTCTATACTTAACAAATGAAACCCCATTTATCGTATTAGATCGCACGAACCAACATACATAAATTTACATTTCAATATTATATGAATACATCTTTTCAATTACATAATATCATTAAATTTTTTAACATTCAAACATACACATTATAAATATATATTTTTCAATATTCATGTAAAATACATTAAATATACCTTAAAATCTATCATTCTAAATAATTTATATTTCAATATTTATATAAAATCCATTATTAAAAATGCACCTTAAAATCAATTTCGTTACGTCAATCTATGAAATCATTATATATATAATTCAAAATTATCATTGTATATTACATCAATTGACACTAAAAAATACAATGATATCCCATGCATTGTATCAAACATATTGGCTCTGTCTCTGCTGGATAAATCTACCAAACAAGTATAGAAATCAACCAAACTCGACTCATTTATCAACCATCTTCAAAGTTATTTGAATGTTACCAATCTATTTAATCAAGTCTAAAGGCAGATGCACAATTTGTTTCAAAAAGGGCAATGACCTGTGCTGTCGGACATTCAAATCACTACAGATACTACAGGAAGATGTTCCTTCCTAGTGACGTAGGTCTGATTCAATCATGCACTTAAATGTCAATAAGGCAAGTGAACAGCTGTTGAGTCTGGTTTCTTTGCCAATAGGCCAGGCCTCGTGTGATGTCATCTCAATCTTTGCCTCCTTAGAAGCATCAGCTGCAGATTTCACTTGTGAGAGGAATGCGTAAGACACCTCAAGGGACCAGGTTCGGGTGACATGCCTTCGTCGCTTCTTGATCTCTTTCCCGCTTGGGCATTTAGCAAGCACCTTCTCTGGCTTTGATGTAGTTTGGTATGGATCACCAGTACAACTTGCTTGTTTGTTGAACATGCTCAAATGGTATATAGCTGCAATAGAAGAGACCATTTCCAAGACATCTAAGAACCAAGTGAATCGTGCACGCGCGAGCTATCCTGCGTCCAGTACCTAGTAGCGCGTTACCTAGTAGCTTAAGAAATTATGTAGTAGTGGGCCAAGGCGGCCCTTAAACATTGAGAATACATTTCCGGGCTACAAAACTTGGATCCCTTCCCACTCCACGAACGAACGTGTTTGGACGGGTCACGAAGGATTCTGCATCGATCTCCTTCTGCACTCGACGGTCTGCAGTCTGGTCTTGGTGCCTGGTCCGGTCTGCCGGTCTGCCGTCGTTCCGACGGTTTGCGCACGGGGCATAGTGGATTTCGGCGGATGCGGGTGAAGCCAAGTGGTTTTCTCTGATCTGGACGGCGTGCTCCAGTGAGACCGCCGATTCATTGGACTCCCAAAATCAATGCAGATCAGGCCTGACAAAGCGAGGGAAGACTGCTCTATATTGGTGGACCACCCCCGGGCGGGACCTTGCCTCGTTTTCCCGCTCTCGTTTTCCGAAACATGTTGGAGACGCACTCTTTTGGAATATGTTCAGTGGTTCGGAGGACTCTAGCAACTTGAGCCGGAAGGAATGTTGAGCACACTTCTATCTAATTGGAGCTGGCTGATCCCAATTCAAAGGCGGCTTCCGACGTTGGCCTGTTGAATTCATAAACTGCCACAGACATCTGACAAACAAGTCATCCCAAAAATCTCCAAAGACATTCTTTTTTTCTGGTGCAAGCAGCATCCCAACGACTTTTCATGAGTTTCTTAGTCATCATAGCAACATCCCCCCCACATGTACACACCTTGCAGATCGCCTTCGGGAACCAGGTTCCACATCTGGCACGTCGTTCAGGTCCTGGGGCTGATGAAACCCAAATGAACTTCAATGGAGCCCGAACATGCAAAAACCATCGATTGGAGACTTCGGATTCTTAACATTTCTTAACTATTCCATAGATTCCATAGTCTTGAAAAGAACCCAACGGTTTTTTCGGTGTCTAGGGGGAGGCAGGCGAGGCAAATCCACCACTAGGTCCTTCCGATTGGCACCGGCACGCGGACTGACACCACGCTGATGGTGGCTTCCCACGGTCCTTGACGTGGATCATCTGATTCCGCTCGTGCATGAGGTCGGTCCTGCCAAGGCCGCTTTACAAAGAACATGGGCATATTCTACAGATCAGGGAGGTCAAATATTTTGAAGGATTCTGCTCCTGTACGCCCTGACCACACATTTCTAGCTCCCCACCCCAACCACAATGCTGCCCCATCTTGCTAGTTGCCTCCAACATACGGAGTGAGGCTAGTTTAAACATCTGCGTCAAATGCCTGCCCCCTGGCTTTTCTCCGCAAACGATGCGGCTGACTCAGGTACAGCACACCGAAAACGCCCAAGTAAGGCTCTATGCCCTCTTGCACGGTACATCTACCGAGTTCGTTTTGGCACTCTCATGCTGCCCAAGGTGAGCGTACCATGGGATCCAACAACATTGGGAACAGCAACTTTAGGCTGCTGCGCAGCTGCCCAAGGTGCAAAACGACACCAGAGCGTTGGGCGTTTGCGAATTCTCAGGAATTCTTCGGCTCAAACGGAGCGTCCGGTTCTTCACAGCGAAACAGCTTTGCCCACAGGACGATGCACTCCGGTTTGACCACTCAGTTGGAAGGCCTGGAAGAGAGACACTTCTCCCCTGCATCACCCATAGGTAGTTTGCATCATAATGGTCCAAGACATCTCAGAATGAAGAACGGTTTGGCTTGTTTTGCCGAAGTAGAACATGATGGATGGCAGAATTGGTGCACAGCACACCACCTGTACTGCCTGTTGATTTTACACAAGTTCGTCAGCTACCAAGGGTTGTGCTTGGGATCACTTTTCATCAACTCTGAGAATACCCAAAGTACAAAGAACTCATTGAGATTCATGGGTCCATTTTTGTCCCTCACAGGGCCAAGTATTTCGTCGTCTGTTCGAGGGACAAGCTCTCGAGCTTGTCTCCAGTTGCACCTTAACTCCACGCTCAAGTCTCATCTCCCTCCCCCCTAAGGTCCTAGGAGCAGTTTCGGGCCGGACATGTGAGCTCTGAAACCTGGTTTTCCTGAACGCATGCTCCACCCAATGAGCCCAAGTGTGTGAATGTCAATTCTAATTAATGGAAACTATTAGCTTCAGCTGCCCACCTTGGATGCAAAACCAAACAGCCAAGCCATTCTCGCTCCCATTCTTGGCCAGGGCACCTTTGCCGTTCCCAGTATAACTCTTCGCGGTTCTCCCAGGCGTTGGGTGGCTTTTCCAGATCCTCTGCCGTCCAAACACAGCCGCCCACAGTCCTCACAGAGACCGACTGGGTCGCGCAGGTCACGCGGGTCGCGCAGGTCATGCGTGTGTCTCTGGGTTGAACATTGGGCATTTCAAGAAAATGGGCTATTGAGTCAGAGACTTGCTGCGCACCGAATATCATATATATATATACACATATACATACAATTAGAATTGATTAGAATTATATATTACATCAGGATTGAAGTCACCAGTGCTGCCCCAGGACCTTTTGAAGTCAGCAAACAACTTCAACACCTCAACATCTCAAACAGCTCGGAAGCAAACCGATATTAATCTCTGTCTTCCATGTGAGATCATGTAAGGGATGCTAAAATATCCAAGTTCTTTTTCTGTCAAACATGTTGATCTCAAAGAGCGCTGTGACTTATCCACAAAATTCCGACTTTCCGGTCGTCCCTCACGGGGCAAGCCACCAGGGCAAACCAGTTCGGTAAAGAAAGCCACAGGAACACCCAGTGGTTTTGGGGTCACTCTCAAGCCCATCTGCAGTCAAGCATTCACAGGCAGAAGGGACTTTCGATTCCCCTTTCCAGAAGGCTTTTGGACTTGCACTGAGCTTTCAGCGTTGCTTTTGTTACATATGAATTGCATCAGCCTAGGTCCGAACCCCACAAATCACCTGGTATCACACCCTGTACTGCCCAATCTATGTAGACACCAAGAATCCAACACGTTACAACTGTCTTATCACACATTCTTCATTTTTTTCTGCTCACAAAACGCCCCAAATCAGTTTTGATCCCTACCGCTTTCTTGCCAAGTGTCGTTGGATCACACTCCTTCTTTTCACCACCCATCGCTTTCCCGCAGTTCTTGCTGTCCACCTTGGGTGCTGCGTCCGACCTGGGTTGACAGAATATGATCCGAGCATCAACAACACGACAGCACGCTTGGAAGGAAACATCGATTTGCCATTGTCACATTCCCAAATCCAAAGCAAGATCATTGCCACACATGTGGGTGTCTGAAAAACTGACACCATGTGGCAGAAAGGAACATGGAATATCATGGAATCCAGAATCCAGTTTCTTTTCTCAGCCCAGACCATAAACCTCATGCAGTCCAACCTCAAACAGTGTTTCAGCCTGGCCACATGGACTCCTTTTGTTCAGCGCTCATCAATGGCTCCAAATACCACTTGTAGAGTGGCGCACAGTTGCACGGCAGCCGGGCCTCAATGCACTGCTCTCCAATGGAATCCGGTGTCTGGATTGTTCGTGAATGGGGTCCTCGAGAATCATTAATCTATTATTTCAATTTAAAGAAATGTTAAGGAGTGTTCGGAAGACATGAGAATAGCTGTCGAAGTACCATCCTCCTCAGTATCAGCAGTTCACACCCTCTTCATCCCTCTTCCAACACTCCGGGAAGATGACACTACACGACCGCACGACTGACGCCCTATGGCCTGTTGCTGCATGGCGATCAGCTTTGCGACGGCGATCGCGACCCTCCGAGCGAAAGGGCCTGAACCACTCTGGCTTCCACTCAGGCTTTCTCAGATTCTTTATATCGCTTCAACATAGTATGATGAAAAGCGTAGCTCTACACCTATCTTGAACCAATATAACATCCTCTGCTCCCCTTTTTATGATTTTTTTTCCTCATGTTCTGTCTGGATCCCCATGTCCTGACATCTTCGGATTCAGCCTCCTCCCCTTGGGCCACGCCGTTGGTTCTGAAGAACAACCACTCTCCGGGCCGAGGCGCATTCCCCTCAGCATCGGGAATATTATACGCCGGCATGATACCAGTAGGAAAACAGAAGCCCTTGCCATGCACTGGCCCTCCATAGGTCGCATCCATATAGGAGGCCCAGGACATTGTACCTCTTCAGGGTAACTCATGGCCAGGTTACCAAGAACACACCACATACAAACATGGCCACTACTCGGGGACAAGCGAGGAATTTGACACCTGACGACACTGCTCGCCAGCGACACGTAGGGGCAAAGCTGATGAGGTTGGACCAAGGAAGGTCATCAGTCTGACATGATGGGCCTCAAAATCCCCCAAAAAGGATCCCTCAAAGCTTTGGCTTACAGAATCCTTCCTTCCTACATTCCCCATGTTCTTTGATTATCGGGCAACTCCTGAAGAACACACATCTCGACACAGCAAGACCGTCCATACCAGGCAATCAGAAACGGTTTTAGTATGTTTTAGTGGTGTGCACAAGCCACGGCTCCAGTCATGAACACGATAAAGGAGATGGATGACCCATTTCGATCACTGGAGCGGCTTCAATCTTCCTCTGTACCAGCGGTGCTGTGTTAAAACTAAGTCGACCTTCCCAAGCAAGATTGGCCAGGCCAAGAATTCAGGTGTCAGATCACCCCTTTCGCCGAATGCTGGTGACAGGCGGCCATTGTGGCGAAGGGCTACCCACTTGGCTGTGACTTTTGGCGATTCTGAACATGAACGGCTACCCATCTGTTTCTCGTCTCACCGTCTCTCGCGGAAGAAAAACAACACGCCGAAGGTTTGAACGGCTTTCATGGGCACCGATCAGCGTCGCAAAGAAGGCGTAGCCGGTGCTCCGCAGGCGATCTGAGGTTCGCGATGCCATGGTGAGTGTTCTAACAAATATCCAGGTAGACTCTTGAGGACCATAAACCCCCCATAGTTGATGGACTTCCAATTCAAATGGAAGGGTATCAAACTATCAAGAGTCTACATGAAGCATGCAAAAACCCCCATCCGTGTCTCTGTATGAACAACCATCCATCGCAAAACGAGACCGAACGCACGCTTACGGGGTGACTGCTTTCACCCCGCTAACGACAGGACCGTCACATGAGAACGAAAAGCAAACGAATGAGGCGAATGAAACACGACCGTCTCAAACAAGTGAGAACGGTTGACTACACCTCAACCATCTTCAACCCAACTCAAACTGATGCTAGTCGAGGACTCGGAGAGTCTTGTGTTGAGATTGTGGCTCCATGAAATGAGTAAGTCCTACGTTTCAAGCAACAAAATCAGGTCCTAAGTCTTAGCAAGGCACAGCATTTTGCCTGCTGCGCAGTGTTCTACCAAAAGAAATCCTCACGAAAGCCGTACTACAGTAAGTGAATGAGCATACCCACCTGTCATGTCACCCCACTTAAGGCATAGCTGTGTCACAACCCCCCCCCCACCATTTTTGCGAAGCTCCCGTGAAGTGCCTGAGTTGCGCTTCCGTTCTTCTTGCAGAATCTCTTCGTTGCTGAGGTTTGTCTTCTCTACGCGCTGCTGCTCCACCTGTCCCACGCGCATGAAACACGGTCTGGGCGCCCCGGTGCACAGCTCAACGTCTCAGGAGCCGTTGAACGAAAAACATGGACACAACTACCGCAACTACAAACATCAAAAACGCCCGGGACTGGGATCACTCATCACTCCTCTCTCCTCTTTTTCGCCCCTCGACTCAACTCGAGGCCGCCTCTTGGGCGCTGCGCTGGAGATTCAAGCGGATGAGCAGTCTGAGGCGAACGGAGGACGGACACCGCGGCTTTTCCCAAGAACGAACGGAATAGTTCCGATCGCTCCGTTCGTAGTACGGCCAGGAGCCCCGAACGTAGCGAACCTTGCTCCGTTCGTAGCGATGCCCTTTGCTCCTAGTAGCTTCTAATAGACTACTAGATACTAGACATGGTCAACCTAGCAGGGATTGGTTCCCACAGCGGTCACACTGCGTGGGTTCAATTCAAAGACATGGTCACACTGCCCAAGACAATTTCTGTGTTCATGTGTGCTGTATCGATTGTGTCAATCAACCAATTTCTGCCACGTGACTCTAATCTACATAGCA